ATACCCAATCACAAGATTGCTTTTATTATATTGCCAGTATCATAGTCCTATATATTAAGCAGATCATGCTATCCATGCTGAGCCTAGTTAAGATGGCTTGGATGACTGAGTTAACCTTTCTGCCGGAGGGCATCGAACCCCTTGCCTTCTAGTGCAATGTCTCCAGTATCCCCTTGTACAGTGTCTCCAGTACTGGTGCATTGTAGACCCCATTTGTTCTGTGCTTCTCTTCTAACGTTGAATGAACCTATGAACTGTGTTAGTAGTTAGTCAGCTCTTAGTTAATTGAAGCTGATTAGTCATAAGCATGGGCCTGAAAATTAGACAGTAACTAGTTACTATTGTGGTGCTGGAGGAGACTCAAGAGTCCCCTGTACTGCAAGGAGATCAAACCTATCCATTCTGAGGGAAATCAATCTTGAGTGCTCACTGGAAGGACAGATCTTGAAGCTGAAGCTCCAATACTTTGGCCATCGCATGAGAAGAGAAGATTCCCTGGAAAAGACCCTATTGTTGGGGAAGTGTGAAGGCAAGAGAAGAAGGGGACAATAGAGGATGAGATGGTTGGACAGTGTCATAGAAGCTACCAGCATGAATTTGACCAAACTCCGGGAGGCAGTGGAAGACAGGAGGGCCTGGCATGCTCTGGTCCTTGGGGTCAAGAAGAGTCAGACATGACTTAATGACTAAACAACAAAGTTACTATCAGTTCTGTGATAACAATTTGATACGGTAATGGAAAAAATATAGGTGGGATCCATCTGCTTACTGAAATTCAGAATGGTCTCATCATTGTCCCACCCCACTCTGAATTTCTCCTTCAGTTTTTGACATCTTTATATCTTCATTCTTCCCACCACAGTCCATTTTGGGGAAAAGCCACTCCAAATGCCATCAGTGATGATGTAGCCAAATTATACACATGTTACTAATTTCAGAATGTGTGTGTTTTAAAATTCTGGAAGCACCATTCAGTCTAGAATTGATAGAACCCTGTTTATTAATTGCAGTAATGAAGGTCTGCTACAGAAAAAACGTTTCGCTCGACAGAGTACGAGCCATGCTTGAAGTTTATCTTGTTACATAAGCATTCCTAAAGATTCTTCATTGATTTTATTTAAGAGTCTTTAGCAAGAGAGAGCAATCTAGTCCGGGTTGGTTTGGAATTATAGAAGTCATCCCTGCAGCTCTGCTAGTTGTGATCTAGTCAACCATGTTGGTGTTAGATTACTCCATTTGGTCACAATGTGCCCCTCTCTTTATCACTCCCCCCCTCCTGCCTTCTCTTTTGCAATAGTTGCCAGCAGTTGGGAAACAACCTGCTTTTGTTTTCTTGTGAGTGGGCATTAATAGTTGGTTTTTATGTGCATAAAAGTGGGGTTATGGAGTGCCATGTTTCAGCCCCACATTTCTCTTTTTCTCTTTTTAAAAGAAAATAATTTTTGATAAGCAGCATAGTGTTGTGTTGTTTCATCACTGAAGAACCCTAGGTGATCCTTGGGCTCCCTTCATTTCAGAAATACCTTTCCATCATTGCTGCCTTCTGAATCATTGTGCTCTGTAGTCTTCAATGACAGATGTTGAGCAATGTCAAGTTTGCAAAACTGGCAGGCAATAAATATATGTAAAGGTGAAGCTGCACAGCCAGGATATCATCTTCAGCCCTATACCTTATAGTGCTTAAGTGATGCAGTACAAGAGTGGGAAAGTTTTTTTTTAAATAAAAATTAAATAAATAAAACTAAAACTAAAATATCTTTTTCACTTGAAAATAGGATAGACAGTATTGTCTGCAGTCATGGTCAACACCCAGAACATTACACTGAAGCAATTTAGGTGATCGCATAGCAAGAAAACCATGTTTATTTCAGCTAATCCTAATTATTCCAAATAAACAGTAGGCCCCAACATTAGACCAATCTGGGATCGAGTGGTCCCCATTAGGAACAGGTTGGGATGCTCTAACAAGAAAGTCATGTAGCTGATGTTTTTAGAGCGATCCCAACCATTCCAACAGGGGACTACAGAATGGGATAAACTCCCATGTAGCCAGCCTCTGTCAGCTCAGTGCATGCATGAGCCATGTAAAGCATTTCTCTTTACACCAGCATCATAACAAAGCACAGATCTGCCACATAAATTTTCCAGCTAAGAAGTATGAACGGAAAAATACACCAGTTAAATGATTTTCTGGGCAGAAGTAAGTTCTGGAATATTAGTTGTACTTCTGTAATTGTTCTCAGAAATGCAAGGGTAATACTCCATGATAACTGAAAAGTGACTTTTTGTATTTCATTAGAAAACAATGATGAGATTATTGCAGAGCTTAAAGTAACTATTATTATACAATGGGAGTACTATAGAAAACAATGAGACAACATGGTGGCAATTTTTAAAATTTCTCCGGTAAAACTGACCCTTTAAAGAGAAATTCAAATAAATCAATGCCGAGACATTTTGCAACAGGCTTGACTACAATGTGAACATAAAGAGATTCATATTCAGTTAATATTGTGCAGCCCTGTACCTGTCTATTCAGAATCTTCATGGTTTTAAAACCGAGTTTATGCTAGGAAAATATAGGTTTACACCTTTCAATTAAAATTCAATGCAAAAAAATCTCTGAAGTAAAGTCAGTTTCATGTTGTCCTTTAGTCGTGTCCGACTCTTCGTGACCCCATGGGCCAGAGTACGCCAAGCCCTCCTGTCTTCCACTGCCTCCCAGAGTTGGGTCAAATTAATGTTGGTCGCTTCTGTGACACTGTCCAGCCATCTCGTCCTCTGTCGTCCTCTGCTCCTCTTGTCTTCACACTTTCCCAACATCGTCAGTGTCATAGTGCCCCACAAAATCACAGTCACAGCCTGTGGTTTATTTATTAATGCTTTGTGTTGAGGATTTGAATGCAAGCATCAAAATTGGTTGGGAAATTTGACAAAGATTCCAGAAACTATTAACTGCTCTGAAAGTTTTGGGATGCTTTAGTGTAGTTTGTTATGAACAATTAAAGGGAGTTTCAAAAACTGTTGTTTTAAGGAGAAACCATTTTAAAAGTCCTAATACAAGATCCTCTCATGAGCCTAAATAGTTCATGAAATCCTGACTTTAGTCTACAATGGAGGTGGACATAATATGGTCATTCATCAGCCTTGGCCAGCATATACAATGATGCAAGATAATGGGGTTGGTAGTCTCAAAACATCTGTTCACAAATTCCCCATCTCTAGTTGCCCAGACTTTGTGCGTTCCAGTTGTGTTGGACTACAGCTTTCATTATTTCCATATTGTGGGCTCAGGATGATGGTAACTCTACTCTAGCATATCTGGAGGGCATCTAGTTCAGCACAGCTGGTGTAGAGCAGAGCAGTTGTGAGGATCACATATGCCTGCATCTAGATTTTGGACAGGCCACACCTGCCTCTAAAAAATATACAGCCTTGTCATACTCCTTTCCCAATTTTGGACCAATCAGTAGTTCCATACCCAGTTATAACTGTTGCTTCCTGTTCCATGTATAGGTTTCTCCAGAGATAGATAAGGTGGTCAGGCACTCCCATTTCTTTAAGTACTTGCCATCGTTTGCTGTGTTTGACACAGTCAAAGGCTTCTGCGTAGTCAATGAAGCAGAAGCAGATGTTTTTCTGGAACTCTGGCTTTCTCCATAATCCAGCACATGTTAGCAATCTGGTGTCTAGTTCCTCTGCCCCTTCGAAATCCAGCTTGTACTTCTGGGAGTTCTCGGTCCACATACTGCTGAAGCCTGATTTGTAGGATTTTGAACATAACCTTGCTAGCATGTGAAATGAGTGTAATTGTACGGTATTTGGAGCATTCTTTGGCACTGCCGTTCTTTGGGATTGGGATGTAAACTGATCTTTTCCAATCCTCTGGCCACTGATGAGTTTTCCAAACTTGCTGCCATATGCAGTGTATTCATCTTTTAAGATTTTAAATTGTTCAACTGGAACGCCATAACCTCCACTGGCCTTGTTGTTGGCCATGCTTTCTAAGGCCCATTTGACTTTGCTCTCCAGGATGTCTGGCTCAAGATCAGCAACCACACTCTCGGGTTGTCTAGGACATCCAGATCTTTTTGGTATAATTCCTCTGTGTATACTTGCCACCTCTTCTTCATGTCTTCTGCTTCTCTAAGGTTCCTCCCATTTTTTGTCCTTTACTATGTCCATCTTTGCACAAAAGGTTCCTTTAATATCTCCAATTTTCTTTAACAGATCTCTGGTTATTCCCTTTCTATTATTTTCCTCTATATCGTTGCACTGTTCATTTAAGAAGGCCCTCTTGTCTCTCCTTGCTATTCTTTGGAAGTCTGCATTCAATTTTCTTTAACTTTCCCTATCTCCCTTGCCTTTTGTTTCCCTTCTTTTCTCTGCTATTTCTACAGCCTTGTTGGACAACCCCTTTATTTTTTTTTTTGCATTTCCTTTTCTTTGGGATGGTTTTTATTGCTGCCTCCTGTACAATGTTATGAACCTCCATCCATAGTTCTTCAGCCACTCTGTCCACCAAATCTAGTTCCTTAAATCTGTTCTTTACTTCCACTATGGATTCATAAGGGATTTGGTTTAGATGATACCTGACTAGCCCAGTGGATTTTCCTACTTTTTCAGTTTAAGGTGGAGTTTTGCTGTAAGAAGCTGATGATCAAAGCCACAATCAGCTCCAGGTCTTCTCCATTCTTTGGCTGCACAGAACATGATCAATCTGATTTCGGTATTGCCCATCTGGTGATGTCCATCTGCAGAGTCACCTCTTGTGTTGTTGGAAAAGAATGTTTGTGATGACCAGCTTGTTCTTTTGAGAAAACCCTGTTAGCCTTTGCCTTGCTTTGTTATGAACTCCAAGGCCAAACTTTCCTGTTGTTCCTTTTATCTCTTGACTCCCTACTTTAGCATTCCAGTCCCTATAATGAGAAGAACATCTTTCTTTGGTCTCAGTTCTAGAAGGTGTTGTAAGTCTTCATAGAATTCTACAGATGTTCTCAGACGCAACCTCTGAGGAGCCCTAGGCAGCAGGACCAAAGATAAGAATGGCTTTAGACCAGGTGGGTGGTGTATAAATAAAATAAGGAAAGAAGAGATGGAGGAGTTGTGGTCCTAAATGCACTTCACATTTCAAATATTGGATTTGCCACAGAGACATCATTACCACATCATTAGATAACTGTAGATAATAACAGCCAATATTTGTTGTTCTGTTAAGACACCAAATATAATGCCTTTCACTTATCAAACCACATTTACTGGTATTCTGTTAGGCCATATCCAGAATGTTATATAGGTTTGAAAGCTGTCTCCAGTCATTATATTCACACAGATTGTTTATTAATCTCATTATAATTCATTGAAAAGAAGAGCGTGTTGCTTAGTTTAACATGTTAATTCATGCTATTTATTTTATTATACGCATGGCAAGGGAGATATGCTTAATAAAAATATGAATGAAACAGGAATGGTCAGATAAACTGAAAAACACAAGTAGGTGTTATGGCCAATTTTGTGATTTTTTACAGAGTTCTAGAAGCATTAACCCTGCCCTGCTACTAGCTCTTACTCATAACTGAAGAATTTGATGATAATGAAGTTGAGCATTTTCAGTGATCCTGAGTCATGTCAGTTACAGTTGCACAGACACAAAAGGCATTTAGGGTAGGGTTGTGTCCTTACTGTGCTTTTAATTTAAGCACACCAAGTACTTTGCACTCTGGACAAATGAGGGACCAATGGAAAATTTTTGCTCACATTTTTAAAAAAGAGGCACTACACAGGCCAAGGAAAGGGAATGAATAGAATAAACAGATCACATGGTAAAGATATGAGTAAACAGATCAACAATTTTTGCAGATGGTGTTGTATGGAGAGAGAGGGAGAAGGGAATATTAACATACTTGGGATACAGGTGAAGAAATGTCCAGAAACCACAGGGGGGTGGAACCTATATCCAATCAACAATGAAAAAACACAAGGAGGGGGGGATGGAAGTCAACAAAAAGTCGCTATTTTGGTCTATACAGAAAGAACAAAGGTTAGTTTAGAGGATAAAGCCCCAAGAGATCCTTGAACCTGTGCAAGATGATGTCTACACAAGTGGTCAATTATGTTCCAGCGGTGGCCATGTGGAAGCTGTTGTAGGGGAACACAAGGTAGGTGGTGTCTAAGAGAGAAAATTGGCAATGTGGAAAGGTACAAAGCAGATGAGAGAAAAATGAGCATAATGACAATTTAAGAAATAACAGTCAATACCTTGGAGAGGCCTTTTGAGACGGCCTTCACTAGCCAGCAGAAGCTATATATGGTATAATTGTCAGGAAGTTTGTCAGAGTGGACATAAGCCCTATTTTTATTCCATGGGGAGTGCTTGATCAACTACATACTGTTGGACAGTAACTATTGACCTTACTATAGGCTATGCTAACTGGGACTTATGCGAGTTGCAGTCCAGTAACATTGACTGTGTGGATCACAGCAAACTATGGCAAGTTCTCAAAGAAATGGGAGTGCCTGACCACCTTATCTATTTTCTGAGAAATCTATATGTGGGACAGGAAGCTACAGTTAGAACTGAATATGGAACAACTGAGTGGTCCAAAATTGGGAAAGGAGTACGACAAGGCTGTATATTGTCTCCTGGCTTATTTAACATATGCAGAATACATCATGCGAAAGGCCGGACTGGATGAATCCCAAGCCAGAATTAAGATTTCCAGAATATCAACAACCTCAGATATGCAGATGATACCACTGATGGCAGAAACTGAGGGGGAATTAAAGAACCACTTAATGAGGGTGAATTGGGAAAGGAGTACGACAAGGCTGTATATTGTCTCCTGGCTTATTTAACATATGCAGAATACATCATGCGAAAGGCCGGACTGGATGAATCCCAAGCCAGAATTAAGATTTCCAGAATATCAACAACCTCAGATATGCAGATGATACCACTGATGGCAGAAACTGAGGGGGAATTAAAGAACCACTTAATGAGGGTGAAAGAGGAGAGCGCCAAAAATGGTCTGAAGCTCAACATCAAAAAAACTAAGATCATGGCCACTGGTCCCATC